GAGGAATGAATAAGCAAATCACCGGTCTTGAAAAAGAGTGCCAAACAGATTAACTGAGAAACGTTTCGAACAATGGTATATAAGCATAAAAATCATTGTTTTCGTCTATCAAAGGTAACTTCCAACCCGTTCATAAGAAAGCAAGACCAAGGAAAATCCTTCTATTTTATAAAGCGCTAACTTTGTGTGTCGGTTTGTGTATCTGTATGTGTGTGTGTATGTATGTGTGTCCGTCCGCAAAATGAAGTGAGTGAGAAGGAAGCTCATGGGATAAACAAACCGCTAACAAATCGGGTAGCTTACAGGATTTGAGATATCAATGTTTTGTAGCAGGATAGTTGTGATAACACTCTTAGGGCTATATAAACACCTGCTTAGCACACTTCCGTTCATTCCACATGGTGCTGCAGTGGCAGCTGGAGGGCAGTGGAGAGAGGAAGGGAGGATGAGGAAGGGAAGCGAAAAATCTACCGTCATATCATGATTGTGTCCCTTCTACTGTATGAAACACCATTGTGTTGCATACGCGTCACTTCCAGGAGGTGTTGGTGTCACAGGAGGAAGGGACCATAGCGGAGGATAGAAAGCTTGCGCAGGAAAGGAAGGTCCCGGCGGTTGACGGGGGACTAATCTGGTATATATAAACGAATTTTCAAGGTGGGCGTTTCTGTGACGTCTAGCTAGCTCTGAGGAACATTTCTAATTGGAGAATACCCGCAAGAATTATGTTCCTCGAAAGTTGGACGAGTTACGGCCGCATCAATGCTTCGGGCAAACGTCCATAGGCTTTATCGATAAAAAACGGCACCATTCAACTATTACAACCCCAAAAACTCAAACATCGCCTAGAGGGTTTACAGCGAATTTGGTGAATTTGGCGAATTTGGCGCCAACGCTTGGAATGAACTGTTACTTCCGTAATCAGGGCATGGAATTACCTCCTGTAGGCAAAGTTTCGACGAAAATTAAAATTTTGAGATTTTGGGGTTGTAATAGTTGAATAGTGAGAAAAAGAAAATCATTGCTAAGGTCTATCAGGAAGAGATTTCCAAGAAAGCGGTCCTCTAACAAGGAGGGTCTTTCAGGACATGGAGCGTTTTTTCAAAATGGTTTTCTGAATGTTGTAGAGGCTCATGTGAGGAACACAGAACCATGGTCCATTTTTCCTGAACCCCAGGAATGTCAAAACAGCGGGAAGAAATGGTCCAAAGTTCGATCCTCCGTGATGACAAATTTTTGCAATTTATGTTGGCGCCTCCAAATTGCCGCAAAACACGACAATGACATCTATTCTCGACGATGGCGCCATTTGGCGGCAATCTGGGGGCGCCAAACTATATTGCAAAAATTAGTCATCACCGGGGATCGAACTCTGGACCATTTCTTCACCACTGTTTTGACATTCCTGGAGGCGTTCAGGAAAAATGGATCATGGTTCTGTGTTCCTCGCATGAGCCCCTACAACATGCAGAAAACCATTTCGAAAAAGCGCTCCATGTCCTGAAAGACCTCCCTTGTAAGTTCGGCCGGGAAGAGCGGAAGCGAGTAACGATATCACTCGTTGGTCCCGAGTGGCAAAAAATTCGCTGTGCGTGATTCCAAATTTCTTTGCAGCATTGGCAAGAGCCTCTAAAAAAGCAAGGTTGGATATAGGGCCCTGACAGAGACTAACTAATGGTTTAGATGGAATTCAATCTACATCGAATGTGAAGAAGGTGAAGAGGTTGTTTGTGCATGGAGCGTTAGCGACATACAAGTGAGGGTGAAAAAGATCCAAGAAGTCTTCAAGTGGGTGCCGCCGATTCTTCTCCCCAAGCTTTCACAGCTCTATCTCACATCCAACACTCCACAAGTTTAAGTAACTGAGATGCGAGCCTTGGCAAACAACTCACACATTGATCTCTCCCTTACCGTATGTCACTTTTCAAACCCTCAAAGAAAATGCTCTGAAACCCGACACGATGTCTGAACGACCTTCGCTGCGTTCGCCTTCTCCAGAGCTCCAGCATTCTCAACAAGAGGACTTATCAATCCATTTCTTATTGGCAAAGGTTTGTCGTCTAAAAAGATTTCCGCTTAGGTTAGTAATTTGCAGTCTTGGAGACTTCAGGAATTAAACGCTGTATAACACAAAGAGGCGCCAAATCTTTCCAAAGGAAATTCCAAAAAACTATGAGAACTCCATATATCCCAAAAACAAGTCAAAAAGAATTCCTGGCACTATCTACCCTTCACTGTCCCACACCTCGAAAACTGAGCTCGATTTTTAATGAAAACTGTCACTGTGGTTTTGCCTCCAAATTTTCATCGAAGTCCGGCTCATTTTTGACGAGTGGGGCAATAGTGTAAAGGATAAACAGTACCGATATTTTTCGAAAACTTTCATATTTCGGTGTGCAGCACTTCTTCAAGCCTGCCGGTATACATATTTTTGGTGGTTTCCCAAAGCCAAATAGATAGCTACACGAAGCCTTGCCTGAGCCAGGGATAGAACTGCCCTTAAAGGAGCCATACCGATAGACTGGAACTGAGTAACTTTTCTCTTACCCCCTGCTCGCATAGTCGCGGTCGCACTATAATGTAGCGATTTTCATTTCGATTGAAGTAGTTTCATTTGAGCCGAGATACATGTATTTGAAGTAGAAAGGTAAAAACTGAAGAACTTTCTGTGCAACCTTGAGATTTTTCGCTAATTTTGCGAAGAAGTACGGCTCCTGCACGTTAGAAAAACCAACTTGGATCCTCATTCCATTTGCATTTTGATGA